ACATTATAATATTGCTCCTTCCCTTTAACTGGTTGGTATCTGGTCATTCCCAGTGTCTCCTGCTTCACCTTATTCTTGTGCACTTGTGTCTTAGAAAGTTTGAGCCTGGAAGTAACCTGCTGCGCAGTGCAGCCTTCTGCCAGCAGAACCAGGATTAAACCAGGATTTAAAAATGCAGATTTTTCAAAAATATAGAGTGGTCTCTTAATTTTTTTTTCCAGAGCTGTAATTTAATGGCCCTTTCAGATAAATCACGATCACATGATATTTATGGAGGGGGATCCCTGTCCCCTGCTGTGGAGCACCAGCCCCCATTTCTGCTGGGCGCTGATCTGGGGTGCGTTTCCCATTAGCAATGGTTCTAACTATATAAGTTAACAACTGTGCTTTTGAGAGACGCACCCCTGGATGCCTGGTTGGGCTCTCGCACTTTGCACCAGCCCCTGGGAAACATGCCTGCAGTCGGTGATGCTCAGTGTCTTACACAACAGTCACAGCCTAATTCACATCTTAATTTAGTGAGAACTGGGTCCATGGGATGAAATTCCATTTGTAGTTAGTCAGTCATCATATGTGGCAACTACAACAGCTGACAGCTATCGATTTAGTTGATTTTTAATAATTGGTCACAAAATACATTGAATTACAGTATACTTGTCATAGATGTCTGCTGTAAAATACCACTTTTAGTGAGTCATTCATCAGAATCGACAGCTACTACAATCTAAGAACAGTGTCACAAATTCGTATATTTTATATGTGTAAATATTGTATCACTTTTAGAATTTGTTTAATTATACTTTTAAAAGCAACTCAAATAGTTTGTTCTTCTTAAAAGTGTTAACGGGAGAAAATCATAGCAGAAATTCTCCAGCATCCAAGCTTGCTTGGCTCGTTCGTACTGAATGCACTTTGTAGACGGTCCCTAGCAAAAGGCGGCGTTCCTGACCCTGGCTTATTGTTTCGCGGAAAACTACAACAGGGTTGCCAACTTTCACGCATCTGGCCTGACACGCTTTCAGACTCTCACACTCACGCAAGAAATTTTACGACAAATGTATATTATTCCATTATAAACCTAATATTAGCTACATCCATAGCGTTGGGGTAGTTTGCAAGCCCTATTTACAAGGTAATAAAATTGTCACATACATATAAATGCGAGTTCATGTGTGCAGACTTGTCTCGAATTGAAAATCTCTAGACAAATTGAGTTGGCAACCCTGTAACAACAACAACAAAAATGAACATCCAATGTACCATGTTGTACTACAATCTGTATATTCTCCTGAAACAGAAAATGTCAGCTTTAGTGATTTTAGGCGATGTCGTTTCTAAGATATAGGGGAGGTAATATCCAGCGAATCTCCAATACAAAACCAGCTTCGCCAGGCTAGTCGCAAACGGGGCTGATCGATGCCTGGGATGGTGGAAGAAAATCTCGAACTATGAACAAGACTATTTACCCTTTACAAAAGCAGGGAGGAAATGCATAGCATTCAGGTATTAAGAGAATATTTTTTCTTTTTTCTCCTCATCTGCTGATACGTTGGCCAGGCTGTGATTTACTCCCACTTTCCCACCGTACCGTAGTCTGCGATTTGTTCACTTTATCTACCACCAGCAGGGGGCAGCAAATAATATTACTCCTATTAAGTCATATTAAGGGCTAACACTGATCAAATCCTATCTGATCAGATTTGATCAGATAGGGCTACCGAGGTTTGTATAGCCAATATCGATTACGATGCCTCCGATGTGGAGATGGGGGAGGGGCTGGTAGTGTCGATACTAGGGGTGCGTGTGTCGGGAGATGGATCATTAATTAATTACTAGTGTCCTGTCCCCCCCCCCCACCCCCCTTATGGGCGGCCCTGCCTGGCAATAGTTCAAACTTAAACAGCTGTAACATCGTGGTTCATGGTTTTACATCAAGTCGATAGAGTTATTGAAACTCTAAACACATAATTTTGTTAAGATGATATTCATTAATTGAAAAGACAAATGGATTTATTATTAGTCCAAGTAATATTAAGTCATTCATATATTATGAGCAATATTGCAATCTGCTGTAAACATATTTATTGCACTTGGAAATAATTCTAAAAAGTTTTATGTAGCATGGCACTGACGATATAAAAATGTAACACCAAATGATATTCATTTTTGGCTGGATTCAGTCAGCACTGTACAGTGGGGTATTATCTTACTTGCCACTGTTACCAGGGGCAAAATCTCAGTGTAACTTTACCCTGTTATTTTCCACTTAACTCATAGACCTGACTTCTAAAATCCTGGAGAGCCTGTTGGGAGAGATGGCGTTCCAGATGGACCACAGAATGGTGTCCTATGCATCCAGGGGAGCAGGCTAGACCAGTGTTACTGGCCCCCAGGGACCCACAGACGGTCCACATTTTTGCTCCCTAGCAGACAGTCCACATTAACTGGGAGCTCAGAGGGAGCAAAAACATGCACTGTCTGTGGGTTCCTGAGGACCGGATTGGGAAGCACTGGGCTAGACTGTATGGCGTCTCCGTGCTTAACATCCCAGAAATGCACACTCAGAAGAATGGGAGCACTTATTTATCTGCTGAATGCATACCGTATAAAGGACAGTACCAGGGATGAGTGGTAATCACAGCAGAATTCAGCAGGACACTTTGGTTTGATAGACTGATACCTGCTCATTATAATTATGTTTTACTTTTACTTCACAGTAGTTCTGGCACTATGGAAATGGCATCTTTTAAACCTTAGATGTTTTCAGATTTGTGGGATTCCATGTAATTCCCAAAACAGAGGAAACCTGCTTTCGTTTTAATAATCGTTCATTTGTTTTATTTGGTGTTTTGTTTGGTGTTCCATGAGTAAGTACCAATGCACAAGGAAGAGCTGGTGTGTTTAGATATATTACTAAGTAACAGCACAATAAATGGGGTCGGTGTCGTTTTAGGTCTTCTTTGACTAATGCGAGTGAAAGCCTTTGGCTTTGTGACAGAATGTGACACATCACCCCCATTCCTATTCATTTTCTGTCTCACAACACGTAGGCAATGGCTGCTGCCAGATTGCTATCATGGGGAAAAAAGTTAGACTCATTGCTAGGATGTTGGAAGTAGGCCGTTCCTTTCTCACACCATGCTGCTCCTTCCGATAGGCATCAGAGGGCCCTTGACCGGGCGGGAGGATGAAGCCAGCCGTCTCGAGCTGACCAGGGGACACCTGCAGCTGTCCTCAGCATCCCTGGCATCCTTGTGTAGCTCGTCAGCTTGGTGGTAATCAAAATGGTGCCTGAAGGACCTGCTGATCCTCCTTAACTGCTCCTGCTTCCTGGCCAATCAGGATGGCAAGCTGCCCTATCTCTGGTCAACCTGTTCTTCCCTTCCCATTACCACATTCCGGCACCCGCCCTCGCCCCCTTTTCCGCTTCTGAAATAATGCATTCCTCACAACACCCTGCTATCATGGGCAAGTCTTCTGGTCTGAGTGTAATGGATAAACTGTAGCCTGATAGGAATGAATCAGTGTGATGCATATTTATAGAAACTTAGAGCAACCAAACCCATATTCATCCATATTCCATCACCGCTGGGGGGTGGGGGCTGCATAAAGACAGGAAGACAGAGTGTCGGGGGTGGGAGTCAGAGCCCTAGAACTGCTGGGATGAGGCTACAATGCTAAGCATCACACAACCATATATAAAGATACATTAAAGATTCTTATCCCAAATGGAGACAATGACATGTGCCTCTAACTGCATGGATATGCAAAATAATAATAATAAAATCTTCTGAACTTAGGAAACATTGAAATATAATACTGATTATCTAATAATGATACTTCATTGACCCCTGGGAGGAAATTCTCTTTCCACCCACCCCATCTCGCTCTCCGTGACAAACATGTAAGTGAGATTCAGCTTGGCAGCAAAGGGCAGCCATCTGCGGAGCTGGGGGTTAAAGGCCACGCTGAAGGGCTCACAGACATGTAACGTTCGGGTTTGGAGCGGCCGCACGCTGCCAGATTACATTAGCAATTACCACAGGAAATCTAAAATATTAGGCTATTTCCCTTGTTTTTGTTATTGCCAACATGTTTGAAATCCAGTATTGGTTGTAGCCCATGCCGTACTCTAGGCCAGAATCACCGCTTGCGTCCCCTGTCTGAGGCAAAGTGAAATTGCCTATCATTCGGTGCGCCCTCAACATGGGCGGAGTTTAGGGGAGGGGTGGGCACTGCCCCCTAGTCGCCTGAGTCGAAATTGCAATTAATTAGCAAGACCAGCATTGCACATGTTCTTGCATATGCGATTTGTTATGGGGCTGTTATTGTAGCAAAATTATTTGTAAATGTGTACAAGAATCTGTCAATGTGCGCAAATATCGAACTCCGCATATTCCTCCGTCCACCACCTATATGTCGCTTGTTGGATTAACAGTTGTTGTGCAGAGTTTTGCATGCCTGCCGAGAACTGCAGGTACCTCGCAACGTTTTGTTTTTTTTTTGTCGGATAAACTGCTAATTATAGCTGTAAGGTAATACATCCTCTTTGTTTCGGGCAAACAATGGTTACATAATGTAACCTAGCTGAACGTCTCTTAAAAGAAACATTAATGGGATACGTATTTCTTTGCAGCGATGATGATAGGTAAGCCAAAAGCGCCCCAAATATGTACTGGTGCCACAATTTGATTCTAAGCTTTATGAAAAACAATAATATAATACAGGAGGGGCGAATTATTAGGCAAGACCTATTTTAGAACTGCCGAGATTTGCATCCCTCTTTTTCGGCAGGTCTCGGCAGGCATGCAAAACTCGGCATAAAACCACCCTGTTGAAATCCGATATTATCTGTTAAAATTTATGGTCAATAATTCCTCCCAGCAGTCTAATAAACCAGGGAACCTCCGGTATTTCTTATTTAAATCTTTATCTAAGTATAGACTTCCGCGTAAAACTGAATGCTATATATAAGGTATACAAAAAAATCAGAAAACTTGTATTAATCCAAAGGAAATTATTCGAGACTGCACATTACACAGACAAAAAAAGTGCACAGTACCACAAACAACAATCTCTGTATAACAATTAAGAAAAATGACATATAGAGATTATAAAAAAACAAATAAGTACGGTAAATATTGCACTAGAAAGATAGTTACTGGAAAAATATGCATTATTGTACATATTATTTCACATGTCCTGATTAATTTACCGATTGTACAATCTGATGACCATCGGAAGGAATGATTTCCTCAGACGTTCAGTGGTGCATTTTGTATCGATCTGTCTGCGGCTGAAAATGCTCTTATGCCCAATCACGAGAGCGGCATAGTCCATGATCGACAGGAGACGGACAGCGTCCTCCTCTCCGCAGCAGTGTCGATAGTTTCCCTTTCCTACCATAGCACCGGCCCAGCGTTCCCGATCAGCTTTAGTCTGTTGGCATCCTCCATCCTCACATTGCTGCCACGGCACACAACAGCACACAAGGCGCTACTGGCTGACACAGAAAACCCGAAGCATCGTATTTCACACTCTAAAGGAGCCGAGCCACCGTAGAAGTACTGCCAGCTCTGACCCTAATTATAGAGGGCGGTGCAGTTCATAGAGCAGTCTAGTTTGCTTACAAGGTGGACACCCATGTATTTATACATGTACGTATCCGGCATTGTTAGGTCCGATCACTCAGGGCTATAGCCCCGAGTATTTCAGCCCTGGTGCCAATCTTCCCTCAAAAAAAGTCAAGCCCCAGGTAAACTTAATTGACTTAGCCCCTGATGTTCTCAATAGCTAGAAACTCCTCTGGTATCCCGAGACCGTGATCCTCTGATGTCCACTACCAGCTTCCTCGTCTTACAAACGTTAAGTTGTAAGGTGATTCCTATCACACACGTTGTTCTTTATATCCACTTTCTCGTCTGTTCCTTTGCTGAACTGCGAAGTGACTTTAGATCGTTTTAGATTCTATGCGGACAGATTTCCGCAACACTTCACATTACTGGCTGGAGTCTGAAGTGAATGGCGAGAGACTCCCGGAGATTCCGGGAGAGGTGGGATTTCTGCTATCTTCAGACACGCGCTACTTCCATGGGTTGCATATGACGACATACATGCCTAATTACTATTCAAGCAGAGTAACTTAAACTTCGTTCGTGTTTCAACATCTCATGCACTTCCGTGCCAAAATAGGCCTGAGCCGGGCAGGACGGAACAAAACTCGGCTGCGTGGATAAAAAAATCCGGATCTACAAACCAGCCATAGGAATGTATTTTTGAATTTAATACGGCGTAATTTCACGTATGATAAATAGATTATAGTTTTTTTTGTTTTGTTTTTCAAACGCAGGTAGTGAATCACACTTTATTCACCAAGTGATGTCAATAACAAACCTGGCATGGGGCATGTTTCATGTTAACCCGTTTGTATTCATTTTGAATTGCACCGCAGACGTTTACAATTGAAATGAATGAAACATTTCCTACGAAGGCAAATGTATTATTCATGTTTGATATTGTAGTAACATGATGGAGTGCAATGATAATTTAAATGCTATATCTTTTAATTGGATTATTTAATTAGATATATAATTCTAAAGACAATTTCTTAAAACCTTAATTTTGAGTGTAGACTGTCTTGTAATTTAGTTAAAAGAGCGTGCGCAACAGAAAATTCTGTAGAGTTTCAATATCACGCTAGACTGCATTACATACATATTTTTTTTAAAAACGGAATTAATAATCTATACTCCGGAAATACAAAAGTAAATACCAAAACTTATCACAAGGCCAATCAGTACGGCATCAGGCCAATTACAAAGTTTATGCTGATTTTTTAGGCCTACAAACTGTTAGCTTGGGGGACTGTTTTTTTTTTTTTTTTAATTATGACGCTGAACACCTTCTGATACCTAATTTCACAGTGGAGTGGCCGGTAAAACGAAAATTACAGTGATTTAGGCCGCTTATGCATGGACACTTTACTCCGGGACAAGTGTCGGGATGATCCGCTACGGAGGTGTTTCAGCGTAAACCCAGATGAATGGATTTGTTTTTACAATTCGCCTGCCATATGGTGATGAGATAAAAACAGTACCCATAAGCGCAAATATTAGGCCTACTGTGGTTTTTAACTCTAAGTAAAATACATTAAAGAAAATTTACTCAAGGTCTCGTAATACTTTTCCCGATTCATTGGCATTTCTGCAGCTGTACAACCATTTAATGATTCGGGCATTGCGCTCGACTATGGACGTATTTTGGCGACTTTTTTCAGCGAGTTCCTCCTCTAAGAGTCCGTCGCTCTCGTCGCTTTTGCACGAAAAGCCGTCGTCCGTTGGAGACTCGCTGCCGCTCCTGGTGTGATCGCTCTGCTCATCCGAAGGCACAGAGAAGTTTTCCTTCCCCAGGGTCTCGATAACGTCGCCGTTCAGTCCGCAGTACTTGAAGAATGTCTCAAACTCGGAGAAGTTTCTCGAATACCTGGAGCTTATGTCCGAATGCGATCGGAGGACAGTATTCCTGGGCTTAGCCCCCTGGGGTGTAACATGTGCATGGTCGTCGGGGACCCGCAGTCTAGCCTTGATCTCAAGCTTTTCATTCTGCACAGTTTTGCTCACTTTTCCTGGGTCGGATTCCTTCACAGCTGGCCCGGGACACACGCTTATCTTGTCCTTTTGTGAGCCAGGAAACAGCCGTCGCACGAAGGTCCCCTTGGCGTTCTCAGTTCGCGACCCTTTTACGTTCTCGCACCTCTGCCGGTGCACCAGGAGAGAATCCGGTCGCTGCCTCTTGGAGCTGCCCGGCCGTACGATGGCGGCGGCTTCCTTTCTCGCACCTTCGCCGATCTGCCGTGCGGGAATCCGCAACTTGTCATCTGCGCTCGGACTTGAGCTGCTGTTTGAGGAGTCGCTGCTGCTCGCAGAGGCCGAACTGAACTTGAGCAGCGGCGCCGGCTCCTCCGAGGCGATCAGCTGCGGACTCTTTACGTACTGCTGTTTGCTGGCAGCCAGCCTTTCCGCGGCACTCGGGCGCCCTTTGCTTTCTACTTCTCGGTCGATTTGTTTGCGAAGGTATTCAGGACCTTTGCCCAGGATCCTCGAAGCCACCCCGGCCTTACTTGAATTCATCTTTCCCGTTTAAATGATGATGTCGATAAATGGGAAAAGGTAAATATGTGGCACCGTCGAGTTGAGTTTAAACGACGATTGGGACACGCTCTTGCACGCCTGACACCCTCAACATCCTGCCCTACATTTACACACGCCACTCCCCTAACCTGGCCCGCAGGTACATTATTTTAAACCAAGCCCATAAACTTGGTGAAATAGTACAGGGTAGGCAGCATGCGCTGACTGCCGAGCGACGCGGTGACTGATCGTTGCCTTTCCTAATTAGGTCCACTTTCCAGTACTTAAACGTATGTTTACACGAAGCATGACACAGATACATTATTTTAATTTCCAGCGCGGTTGTAATCGACTTGACAGGTAGGGCTATGCCTGCAAGATATACATAAACTATAGGTTAAAAAGTGCCTAGGTGTCTAACTTAAGCAGATTTTGCGAAAACTGGGCTACAGTGCAAATATAAAGATGATAATTTAATAAAGACCAACAAAATGTTTATTTACCTTAACATGTTTATATGTAAACTCCGGGGCATTTTCCCCCCAGGAATGTCTTTACAAAATGTATTTCATAATTTGTTTCAGCCGCCAATCAGGATAGATATAGTCGCAAAATGACCTGTATACATTATTTAGTTTTTGAGATATATATAGGCCTATATGTATTATGAAGTATATCAGTAGAATCCTCACTGGAGTCATATTTCAGTTTCTAAAAGTGAGAAAATCTTCCCACACACAATACACTGTTTAGTGTAACATTTCTAATGTTGTCGACTTTGAGTCCCGAGAACTTAGTTTTATCTAGACAAAAGATCACAATTTAACAATAAACATCTTGATTCAGTAGTAAAACACTGGAATGCGACACCAGTGTTTAAGAGCTTACAACACAGGAAGTAAATGCATGTCTGTACAGCAGATAAGCTTGGCTATTTAGGGAGGAGCATATTATATGTTTAATGTTTAATTTTTAAAACAATGTATGATTTCAGACTGCTGTTTAAGGATTTTCTGATACTCTCGACATAAATATGCCCAGTACATGTGTGTAGTGCTTCTCTTTAAACTCTGTAATCCATGGAAAAGGTGCAGGGCTCCGTTTTGTTCTGCGGGTGCTATTGTATAATATAACCCAGTAAGCGGCATGTTGCCATGTCCCTTGAGGGTTAGGGGTTCGAATCCCAGGCTCAGTCTGTGTGTGTCGTTCACATGCACTTGCTGTCCTGCCTGATTTTGCTTGGGTTACAAGCAGTCCCCAGGTTATAAATGAGATCCACTCCCTTAGTCTGTCTTTAAGTAAAAATATTAATACAGGACATCATAAAAATAATTATACAGAATTTCCTTATAATAAAAGTAACCACATATGGTAAGGTGTGTATTTGTTTTTACAAGTCATATCTGTCCATAAGTACGAGTTTCCTCCTGCAGTTCAATAGAAAAAAGGGTGAGACAGATTTGGTACAAACAACATTAATGCACCCCAATGAAACAAAAATGTTCCTTAGAGTCCATTTCTGTGCCTTAAATTAGAGTAAAATGACCTCCAAAAGGTACATATACCTACCGCTGGGGTACAATTGGCAGACCCTTGAGGGTACAGAATCAGTGACAAGTAATTGTACCCTCAAAGGTACAAACTGGTACTTTTTCCTTACAGCCAAAGGCATGCCGCAGCTGGCTGAACTGATGTCTCTAAGTTGCCCATAGTATCTGTGTCTATGTACCATGTGATGGACTGGCATCCCATTCAGGACATGCCCCTGTCCTGTGCACTCTACTCCTGCAATAGGCTGCAGGCCCCCTGTCCTTCATATGCACTCGATTGTGGATGGATGGAATATTCATGTTGAGTGTATATTGTATATACAGGTGTCTCCTGTTGGCTCCCCCAGGTGGTACTTTGCTGGGCAAAACATTGTATGAATATAATAAGTGAAACAAGCTGAATTTTAAGTGTATCCAGAGACACATTCACATGGTCAGAGGCCCTTGAGATACCTGAGCTGTCGCTTCCCTCCTGCTGTTTTCTGTGATAATGTATGACCAGGGTGGAGTGGGCCACTGACTTGCAATGATAAGAGGTGTTGAATGGGAGGGGGGGTAAAAATTTTATTAAACAAAGGTTTTTAAGGCCCCTGGTAAGCCCATGAATTAAAGTGTCCCTGATCTGAGGTGATGAAAATGATGAAATAACTGACATTTATTTTGCTCTTTTGCAATTCCTTTGTCAAAAGCAAATTACTGTACAAGGAAGGGTCATAATTTATGTGGGCTCGCTGGGATTTGAACCCACAACCTTGAGCACTGTTAGCACAATACTCTACTTGTCAAGTTAGAGGAGCAAATAAAATAAGCTACTGTTAACTTACTTTAGAGTTAATCATTAACAGCAGCTTTTTTTAAATGAACTTGGAATGAATTTTCTAAATTTTGTTCAGAACTCATTTTTATTGCATTCCAGCCAGGGGTGTCACTAGAGATTTTGAGTCCCAACACATTGGGCCCTCAACCCAGACAATTCCAAATATTTCCCATTTTTTTTAGGGCCCCTGTCACTGAAGGGCCCTCGGAATCATTTGAACTTTCTACTCCTTTATGGGGCCCCTGATTTTAACATGGGCACATTTTTCTCTGCACTTATACCGACTTTGTATATCAATAATGCTTTGATAGTAAGAAACCTCTTAAGAAAAAAAGGATGGTATTCATGTAATGAACCTGGAAGCTGTACAAATAGAACAGGTAACTGTATAATGATTGACAATAAGAAGACATACTCCAGGTGATTCATTTATTAGCTTCAGTATAAAAAACTCTCAGTTGCTTCTCCACACTGCCCAAATAGCAGTTTATTTACGTTTTATTTATTTACCACACGGTTTTATCCAAAGCGGCATACATTTGAGAAAGCAGGGTCAGCCTGCACCTGGGGCAATCAGGGGTAAACGGTCTTGCTGATGGACCCAATGGTGAAATCCCTCTGCCAACCATGGGATCTGAGCCAGCAACCTTCTGATCACAGGCTCAGCATCCTAACCTAATGAGCTGCACACCGCCACTGTTTTGATGCTCAAAGTTACAAAACATCCACATTATGTTGCTTTTAATTGGCCTTGATATCGCAGCAGAAGACATTGTTTTATTACATAAAAGTGAAAACGGAATTTAAAAACATAAGTGGAGAACTGGCACATGATGGCCACGAGGGGGCAGCACTGCATTGATTATGCGCAACACGTGATAAAGGAATGAAACCCTAGAGACAGCAGATAAGGGCACCTATTACATCACCTATCACATATAAATGACCTCATGGCAGCTGGGATTGAGGTTTGTGTGATGGAAGCCCACTGCAAAGCAACGGTTCATTTTGGCAGGAAACATCCCAAGGGCTCCATTCTCTAGAACAGAGTTCAAGGATTCTAAGCTTTTTAACAGTATGTCAAACTTCAAAATACCAGTCAATTACAGTACATGTGACAGTGTCCTGCAGGAGTTAAGGTATCAACAACGAAATTTAGAATTTTGTAACTGATTCATAAACTTCCAGGTACCACTGAATGTTTTAAGTTTAGAACAGTTTGTATCAGGCTCCTAGAAGCAGGTCTGAAGCAAGTTGGAAGCCCTTCATTAATGAGGAATAGAGAAGAACCAGGCTGCAGTTTGCAATAAAAAAGTATCATTCACAGACACATACACATACATTGAAGAATGAGTTGAAACAAAAAAAACGTTGCTGTGGTCTCTTCATTTTTCCCCCGGCTGCATATCATTCGACTCAAAAAAGTGACTAAAAAAATGTCATGATGATTATTCTCTGTAACAAGTTGTGTGTTTTAATATTGAAAGTAATATGTGAAATATTTAAAAGATATATTTATGGAAATAGAATCTACCTGTATAAAACCATATACTGTAACTTCAGCTTTAACAATGTAACAATTTCTATTTTACTATATTGTAGAAAATGTCTTACAAATAAATTAATGAAAACCCATTGGTCCCTTTCCCATTGGTCCCTTTCCCATTGGTCCCTTTCCCATTGGTCCCTTTCCCATTGGTCCCTTTCCCATTGGTCCTTTTTCCATTGTAATATATTTTCGCCACCCTAAGGCTGTTGGCTCCTCTTCTCCCTCCCCTTGCTTTTTGGCCCAGGCTTCATACCCACGTCTCCCTGCCCCTTCTGGACCTCAGCTCCAATCTCACGACATCCATTTAATGCTGGGGAGTGTAGAAGGTCACTGTGTAGCACGTCATGTCCTGAATGCCCCTGGTTTCTCCAGCAGATTCAAAGCCCTGATCAGCAATGACATGGTAGAGAGTTGGCCCATTAATTTAACTCTAATTAGACATTTTGACTCATAATTTCTTACCAAGTTAAAAAAAAAAATGTAAGAAGTGGACACAAAAATGAATAAGCAAATCAAATTTCAATTCATAAACACTGCTTAAGAGATTATAAGTGACATTCTAAGAGAGAGAGAGGTAAGGAGCTCGCGCTGATTACAGCATGTTGCCACACCCACCACACAACAAACCACCTCAGGGATGAGAACCTGAGCACAGCCATGCGGTGGGTGGTACCTCGGCACCACACTAGTCCAAATGGACCAGTGTGAGTTTTTCCTGGTGGCTCGAGTGCGAATCCTGCCACCAACCCCCAAATTTCCCTGTACAGTAAAACTGGTTTAAGTCGGCGTCTTGTAACTCGTCAATGTGCACAAGTCGACGCTCAAGCAAAAGTCCTGATTTTTCCTATTGATGTTTCCTTTAAAATTCCTTGTGTAACTCGCCGCTTGTACTGTAAGTCGTCAAATTCCCTTAGTCGTCACCTAAATCCCGGTCCCGAAGAATACAAATGAATGGATTTTCCTACCTGTAAGTCGACACCCCAATCGCTGCATTCCCGCCGCCTGCTTGTCACCACGGCAATGTAGAAACGGGGAATCCCCACCTATCGCACTAGTCGCTCCCTGGTCTTAAGTCTCGCGTGTATAGTGCGGTGTAGTAGAGGTATGGTGTTATATTCACTAGTCGGCAAAACGGCGAGATAGACATAAGTCGCCGAAGTGTCGACTTTATAAGTCGGCAAAACGGCGAGTTATATTTACTAGTCGACAAAACGGCGAGATAGACATAAGTCGCCAAAGTGTCGACTTAAGTGTATCTCGTCAATTCTCTAAGTCGTCACTTTTAAGCTGGTCCCGCGAGTGTCGACTTAGACTGGTTTTACTGTAAGTTGGAGGACCGCCTTACAGGGGTGGATGTAAATTAACATCATACTCAGGACAAAACAATTGCAAGTTAAAGGCCTTGCTTGAAGGCCCAATGGAGGAGGATCAATCCTGGCATTCACAGGATTTGAACCAGCAACCATCCGATTATTGAGACAAAGGCCCTAGCCTCAGAGCCACCAATCCACCTCCAAATTCTAAGGACAAAACATAAAGTGTAAAACGAATAGTCAAATAACAGTAGCAATACTGTAGTAGAGAGAGATCAGTGTTTATATCAGCAATCTGGTTTGGTAATCTGCAATACAATTCATAAAGTTAGAACCTGTACAAATTTACAAATTGTCAGTGGAGGGTCATTAACTTAATGACATAAATTGTGTTGGTAACATGTCATAAAGCCCATACTTCTTATGATCTCTCTATACTTTCATGTCTGTCTGCAGCATGGTAGTGCTTTGTGTGGATCTGCAGCCCATGAGAGAGACTCACCTGGTTTGTCAGTGTTAATTCTCCTGTTTCCTGTATTTTACTGCCATGATTCTGTCTAGTACAGCTTTTCCTAGAAATCATGATGTGATCAGAACCAGACAGTTAAAAACAGACAATAACTGTAGGAAATTTTCATGCAGAGATGATATAAACTCAAAAATAGGACTATAATTTAAAATCTAGTACAAGTGAACAACGTACTGACATAGTACGTTTTATTCTCACTAGATCAAAGAAAAGATAACATTTTGTTGAGTATTTTGAGTGAAATCAGAATAAACTCAAACCATGTCCAGACACTCACTTGAGAATAATCATCAGTAAGACTAAGATGCAGGTGAGAATCATCCCAGCAGCCCCTGCAGCAGCGCCAATCAAAATGGGCAGAGCTTTGGCAGCTGCAAATAGAGGGTGTATTCATAAATATTACTGGAAACCAACACTGTTAGAGAGATCAGAAACCTACAGCCACGCCCATAATGTCTGTGCTTCACATTCACCCTGATGGGTGACATTCTGCAGCAGTTAGTCCTGTAATTTAAGACAGTAATTAAATTCAGTGCCAGTAAAATGATTGAGGACACCAGCTTGACACCAAGTTTTTCCCAGTTATCTATAAACAGGAAGTGGACGTCTGAGAGTTGGCAGTCAGTATTATAGCTTGATGAGCTGTAATTTCACTTTTGACTGCTGTGTATAAAGAATTATGACTGAAAGAATGTACAGATGAATGAATTATTCCATATTATAAGATATTTAGCTGGGAATCCATAGCCAGAATGGAAACCTAATTTTTATTGTTCCAGATATACACACTTTGGGGTCGCGGACTGAAAGGTTTGGGCATCATGTGCAACATGTTGTTGTGAACATATGCAATTTTGAAACAGACCTCAGTTTCCTCCTGGTTTTAATGCTAATGTCAGCTTGAGTCAGGGGTGCTGCTAGAGAACTTGGGCCCCATGACAGCACATCATATTAGGCCCCCAACACAGAACAATCTGTCATGTCCTGCCTTCCTGCCTCACTCATTCCCCCCTAAGCGGCCGCCGATCCACACGCTGGCTCCCTGCGGCCCTCCGTCAGCTCCCACCCAGAATGCAGAGATTAAAGAGGAGAGCTGAGCCGACGCCAGAGCCCGGCCCAAGCGACGCCACTGCTACTACCTCACCCGGACCAAGGGAGGCCGTCGCTGTCGCAGCTCCCGGCCCGGGAGAGACCGCCGCCGTGGTCCACGCCCAGGCCTGAAGAGACCACCGCCGTGCCTGGCCTCCAGACCCTTGGCCCTGAGTGGGCTGCTCACCCAACCCCCTCCAGTAAGGTCTTCATCGCCCCACTAGCACCTGGCCCAGGAGAAGCCACCATTGTTCCTGGTGCAGGTGAGACCTCTACCATTCCCAACCCCAAGAGGATTGCTCTCAAATGCCTGAGAGGGTCATTCCTAGCAGTTCCTTACTGGAGGTCCTGGTTTTGCCCTGCTTATCGCTGGAGGTCCTGGTTTTGCCCTGCTTATCGCTGGAGGTCCTGGTTTTGCCCTGCTTATCGCTGGAGGTCCTGGTTTTGCCCTGCTCACCACCAGAAGTCCTTGCTGTGCTTTCCTTACCACTGGAGGTCCCTGCTGTGCACTGCCAGGAGTCTGGGCTCAGCCCCACTCGCCTCTGTGCTTCCCGGTTCGGTCCCGCTTGCCTCCAGGCCCCCTGGCTTTGTCTTGCTTGTCTCTGGATGTCTCAGTTTCATCTTACACATCTCTGGATGTCCCAGTTTCGTCTTACACATCTCTGGATGTCCCAGTTTCGTCTTACACATCTCTGGATGTCCCAGTTTCATCTTACACATCTCTGGATGTCCCAGTTTCATCTTACACATCTCTGGATGTCTGCTCATTTCTAGGAGGCCCGGCTTCACACACCTCATTGGCTCCTGCTGTCATTTCTGTCACCTGGAGGCAGCTGCTCCAGTTCCGGCTCCTGCCCTGCAGGTCCCTCCTGTCCCTGTCTGTTCTTGCCCAGCCGTCCCTCGGCGTCCAGGGGTTCTTGACAGTCCCAGCAGTGCCCCCTTGTCCTGCAGTCATGGCGGCACCCCCCTGCTTTGCATTTCCTGCGGCACCAACCTGTTCCTGCCTTGGTTCCTACCATGATTCCTGTCCTGCCCTGTTGTCCTTTAGCTGGTGTCCAGCACTGGTGTGTGTGTCTGGCTTGGTGTCTCCCCTTCTGTCCCTGGTCTCGCTCTGTCCTGTGCCCTCATTAGCATCCAGTCTTGTCCCGTCCTGTTCCGCTGTGTCCTGTCGTCCCTCGTCTAGTCCTGAGTCCCATCCTGTTATGTCCAGTTCCGTCCTACCTCCAGTCTCTCCTCCCCGGTGATTTGGTCCCTAGGTCCCCTCTTCAGTCTGCCTTCTGTGCCTGGAGCGCACGTGTTAGGGGGTGGTGCTGTCATGTCCTGCCTTCCTGCCCCTCTCGTTCTGTTGCTTGTTTTGTCTTACCTCTTGTTTCAGCCCTCGTGTGGATCACTCCAGCTGCCTCTTGTTTGCTCTCTCGTCAGTCCTGTATAAAATAACTTTCCATTCTTGTGCTCCCCAGTCCTGTCATTAGTGTCATAGTGTTGTGAGGTCATCCCCACTGCGTGCTCAAGTTTGTCCCCGTGTTTCTTCTCCTGTTTAGACCCCTCACAGTCTGTACCCTGTTGTTTTCTTAATAAAGCCCCATTTTGTTTAATCCTAACACCTGCCCGCGCCTCTGTTCCATTCCCGATCGTGACACAAGCTAATCATTCTTCAGACTTTTAGGGCCCCCGTCACTCAGTGGCCCTTGGCATCATCCTAATGTCCCCCTTTACAGCGACCCTGACCTCAGCAACCTTAAATACACAGGTAAATGGTCATAAATCCATTAGAACATCATTATTTAGAAAGTGATATGAAGTGAAACTTACATTCACAGTGGAGCTGCACAGTGCTTGAATTCTGCAGGCCGTGTTCATTCTGAGCCTGACAGTAATACTGTCCACTGACCTCAGTGATATTACAGGTGAGGGTCTGTGTGTATGAAACAACTTCAATTTCACTCCCAGTCACTTTATACCAGGTGAAATTGTTCACTGCTGGGTTGGCATCACTGCTGCAGGTTAGACTCCCGTCTTTTCCAATTAACACCAAAGTGTTTTTAGGAGAATCTGCAGCAATGTTAAAGTAACCAAGGAATATCACTTACATCAGACATAATATGCATCAGAATTAAATTCACAAGATTCTGACACCAAACAGGATTCAAAAATATGTGATCAAAATGGCCTTACATTGCAATGCATATGCAAGAAACTCCATATATATTAAGAAGTAATTTTCATTCATTTTAAGTTTATATACCAAAGAAATCAAGTATCATTAAACCATGCGATATGTCATTTCAAATAATTTTTTTTTTTTTATGTTATTATTGGTTAGTTTTATATTGCTTTAAATTGTTAATACAATATGCAGACAAATGAACAGATTGCATCTGTGACAAAAAAAATCCATATAACAACTAATTAAGTAACGAGAGCGGCTTATTCAGGCCCACCCCACCCCCCGGTCTCATACATAATTCAGAAATTTCTGAAAATATGATCAAAATGGACTCACAGAGAACCTTTAGAGTTACATTTGTGTGGGATGTCCTCTCACTGTTATCTGCTTGGAGCCTGTAAACTGCTGTACATTTGACTTCCTGCTTATGGAGGACATGTGAGGCAGTAAAGGTCATAACAGAAGATACAGGTTTAGTTTGATCATCATTCTCCTGAAATACAGTGACACTGTCACTCAGCCTGATGGTCCATGACAGAGTCGGGGGGAGTGATGGACAGGAAGCTGGAGCCGAGCAGGTCAGAGTCACAGAGTCCCCCTCCCTCAGAGTCACAGAGTCCCCCTCCTTCACCATGTCCCTGTTTACGGTGACCTGGGGGCTGGGTGGGGAGTCTGAAAGACAGAGAGACAAAGAGTCACATGTTTCGTATCACATTATATTATACTTGTTTCACACACGCCTGGGGAGAGACTATTTACAGGGCGGTTCCTGCTCGCTTTGGTTTTCCACTGCAGAAGAGTCGGGTCTGTAAAGTCAGGGTTTGGAGAGTGACAGTGAAATAACACCAAAGAATCGCTTATTAATTGGTATTACAATGGCTGCTCCGCCAGTCGTGATATGGGCTCACCTTCAATGATAAAGATGGTTTTTGTGTCTGTATGTATGTGTCTTGCATTGACTCTGAAACTGGAAGCTGAAACTGCCTGTTTATGACA